TGTTATCATTTTATTGTCTAAGCATCACTACATATAACACCACCCATCATCACTACATATAACATCATCCATCATCACTACATATAACACCATCCATCGTCACGACATATAACACCACCCATCGTCACTACATATAACACCAACCACCATCACTACATATAACACCATCCATCGTCACTACATATAACACCATCCATCGTCACTACATATAACACCAACCATCCATCATCACTATATATAACACCTCCATCATTACTGTATGTAACATCATCCATCATCACTACATATAACACCATCCATCATCACTACATGCAACATCATCCATCATCACTACATATACCACCATCCATCATCACTACAGGCACGACCATCCGGAACATCACAAGCATAACACCATCCATCATCTCTACATATAACATCATCCATCATCACTACATATAACACCATCCATCATCACTACATAACACCATCCATCATCAATACATATAATATCCATCATCACTACATATAACACCATCCATCATCACCAAATATAACACCATCCATCAATACGATAAAACACCATCCAACATCACTATACTGTATATAACACTATCCATCATCACTACATATAACACCATCCATCAGTCACTATATATAACACCATCCATCATCACCATATGTACATCATCCATCACAGCATATAACACCATCCATCATCACTACATATAACACCATCCATCATCACTACATATAACACCACCCATCATCACTGCATATAACATCATCCATCATCACTATATATAACATCATCAATCATCACTAAATATAACACCATCCATCATCACTACATATAACACCATCCCTCATCACTACATATAACACCATCCATCATCACTGTATATAACACCATCCATCATCACTATATATAACACCTCCATCATCACTACATATAACATCATCCATCATCACTACATATAACACCATCCATCATCACTACATATAACACCATCCATCATCACTATATATAACACCATCCATCATCACTATATATAACATCATCCATCATCACTACATATAACACCATGCATCATCACTACATATAACACGATCCATCATCACTACATATAACACGATCCATCATCACTACATATAACATCATCCATAATCACTACATATAACACCATCCATCATCACTACATATAACATCATCCATCATCACTACAAATAACACCATCCATCATCACTACATATAACGCCATCCATCATCACTACATATAACACCATCCATCATCACTACCTATAACACCATCCATCATCACTACATATAACATCATCCATCATCACTACATATAACACCATCCATCATCACTACATATAACACCAACCATCATCACTACATATAATATCATCCATCATCACTACATATAACACCATCCATCATCACTACATATAACACCATCCATCATCACTATACTGTATATAACACCATCCATCATCACTACATATAACACCATCCATCATCACTATATATAACCCCATCCGTCATCACTATATGTAACATCATCTATCTTCATTACATATAATACCATCCATCATCACTACATATAACACCATCCATCATCACTACATATAACACCACCCATCATCACTGCATGTAACACCATCCATTTTCACTATATATAACACCATCCATCATCACTTCATATAACACCATCCATCATCACTATATATAACACCACCCATCATCACTATATAAAACATCATCCATCATCACTATTTATAACATCATCAACAATCACTACATATAACACCATCCATCACCACTACATATAACACCATCCATCATCACTACATATAACACCATCTATCATCACTACATATAACACCACCCATCATCACTACATATAACACCATTCATCATCACTACAGATCGGTAAAGTAGTTTCCGAGATTCTCCTGCGGACACACGAACAAACAGACAGTTGATAGTTAAATGATGGAAATAGAATAAAGTTGACAGACATACAGATAGAAAGTTATGTATTTATCCCTTAGACTGACGGAGCCAACATTTCCACCACTGTGCTGAGGGCTTCTGTGTTGACGAGTCCTGAGTTGTGTCTCACTCACTCAACTATATTTTGAAGTTGTCGATAAAGTTGGAATGAGTATGATGATGACGATAGGTAGTGGTGATGATGATGATGATGATGATGATTAGTGATGATGATTTGATGATGATGATGATGATTAGTGATGATGATAATTTGATGATGGTGATGATTGGTGGTGATGATGATGAGTATATCAAATGTAATAAAAGTTTCATTATAACTTTAAGATAAGCCATTAAAAATATATGAAAACATTTATAATATCCTGGGTAATTGACGAAGATGATGCTGAATAATTAGAAGAATCAAAACATATAATTTTCTCGCCCCATCTTCCTTCCCTCTCCCACGATTCTTATTCTTCTTCCTCCTCCCTCCTCTTCTTCCTCCTCCCCTCCTTTCCTCCCTCTCCCTCCTCATCTTCCTCCTCCTCCTCCTCTTCCTCCTCTTCCCCAGGTACAGGTATACAACATTATTCCATCTCTTTTCTTCGAGGAAACTAATTTTCACAGTAAATCGACCCCACAAAAAACTTAATCTTTTCCTGATTATTTTTCCGAATTTACTTTTTCCAGTTTCTGCTCCTCTTCCTCTTCCTCATCCTCGTAACCTATTCCTTCATTCATCCTCCTTCTTTATTCCTCCACCTCTTTCTCACCCTCACCTTCCCTCTTCCCCCTCACCTCACCTTCTCCTCACCTCACCCTCACCCTCACGTGTCTCCAACAACAACACCGGACTTGGACGCCTCATTAGACCCCTGTTGTAGTCCCCTGTCACTCCCACCTCACCATCACCCACCTGACGAAGGAACTTGAAAGAGCCTCTTCCTACCCACTAATTTACCTTTAGATAGAGACGTCAGCAACAGGAAGTGGGGTACCTGAAGGAGTGGCAGAAGTGAGAGAAGGGGGATTAGGTATGGTGGGGGTAATGAGGGGAACAAGGGTGATTGGAGGAATGAGGGAAGTGGGGGATAAATGAAAGAGTGAGAGAAAAAAGAATAACTGCAATTGTGAGGGAAATGGGAGAGAGGGTGGGGGTAATAGAGGAATTTAATCTTGCTGCCAGGGCTAGTTTATCATGCACTCCTACACTCTTCCTGTAAGCGGTAGAGCAAAACATATTACAGAGCAGCGTTTACATGCGGATTATATCAGGCTCCAAAGGTCAGGTTGATATTACATAAGCTACTGTATCATAATTCTGTACTGTAATGTGATGTAATTCTTTTGGTGAAGCTTATAAGGAATCACCCAAAGTACAGGAAATATACAGTGTAAATTCGGTCATACATGTAGTCTGTATTTGCTACTGTGTAACTGTAGTATGTGTATATTTTGGATATACTGTACCTGCATACTGACGTTGATACATATGTTTACGTATTCACCTTCATCTGCATTACTTTAACACACCTTCACCCCCCACACACACACAAATCAATATAAGTCCTACAATTTCAAACAAAACAAAACAGTTACACTATAAGAAGCCACTTTATAAAACAATCTCTTCAAGAGTGAAACACATCCATCAGGGAGAGTCAGCATCAAACTGATTACATTTAACCAGAAATTATTTTTAATAAACAGTAATGCCATCTGCTTAATGTATCAGCGGGCGGGGCACTCAGATATGATATAGGGACGGGGCCGGTGGTGGGAGCAGGGCCAGGACAGGGCAGGGCAGGGGCGGGCAGGCTGGCGGGGCGGGAGCAGGAGACTCAGCTAACATGGCCAGGGACGGGTGGAGGTGGGGCAGGCAGGCGAATCAGCTAACATGGCCAGGGACGGGGTGGAGTGGGACAGGCGGGCAGATCAGCTAACATGGCCAGGGACGGGTGGGTGGGGCGAGGCAGGCAGATCGCTAACATGGCCAGGACGGGGGTGGAGGGGGCGAGGCGGGCAGATCAGCTAACATGGCCAGGGACGGGGGTGGAGCGGGCGGGCGGGCGGATCAGCTAACATGGCCAGGGACGGGGTGGAGTGGGGCAGGCGCAGGCAGACTACATGGCCAGGGACGGGGTGGAGTGGGGGAGGCAGGCGAATCAGCTAACATGGCCAGGGACGGGGTGGAGCGGGGCGAGGCAGGCGAATCAGCTAACATGGCCAGGTAATGGACAATCAACAGTGTATTAACTAAGAGCCAGACAATTAGTTACCAGTAGTTGTATTTACCTGGTCCCGGGGATGTGAATTAAGCTATAAATTGTCTTGTGCACCAGCGAACATTATTACACACACACACACTTACATACATACATACATACATACATGTGTGTACGTATCTGTGTGTGTGTGTGTGTGTGTGTGTGTGTGTGTGTGTCGCTTGCTCTATGATACAGTTTACGTGAGTCTATCTTGCTAACACAGAAATAAGATAGATCGAAGAAATGTTTGTATTTTCCTTAATCTGTTTCATTATGGGAATATTTAGTTAACACCTTCACTACGACACTTCATGTTTTATTTACTTAGCGACAGAAGATGTTAAGGGGGTTAGTAGACCACCTCCACTAACAAGAGGCAAAAGGTGAGCAATGTTTGTCTTACCTACATCAAGTAACCAATAAGTAATAATTTGGTAAGAGGCAAAGAAATACCACTCAAATTACTCATTGGTACACAAGTTCGAGGTCACTAGATGTAATAAATTATAACTCACAGATAGTTTTACAGAGTTACAATCGGGGTCAAACTCGTTCCTTCAAACTGAATCAGCATCGACCCCAAATGAGACAAAACCACACACCCGCACCAGATGACAGTCAGGGTAAGTCAGTTCGGAGACTCTTTCCAGTGAGTCCTTTTCACCACAGGGAGAGAACTTTAGTCCACCACTGTACCACAAAGGGAGTATAGTAATGGCTCTGTAATCAACTTCACCTGGTATGACCTACAGGTACTTCTTACGTGGTACACCCGCTGAGCCTCAACGCTGCTGACAGGCGGGGAAAGATAATGATAGCTTTCGCCTGGTTCCTGGCCTTCAGCTGCTCACTGCCTCAGGTAAGTAAGCAGGTTGTAGGACAAAATATTACCTAATCTAATCTAACCTAACCTAACCAAACCTAACCGAACCTAACCAAAGCTAACCGTACCTAACCAAACCTAACCAAACCAAACCAAACCTAACCTAACTTCAAATGATCTGACCAACCCAAACAAAACCTAATTTAATCTAACCAAATTAAACCCCCCAAAATAACCAACCCTCACCTGACAGGCGATGAAAATTTTATAAGAATCTTGACCTGCTGGGTTGGATTAGGTTAGGTTAGGTTAGGTCTCTCTTCTCTTCACCAACTGAGAGGTGTGGGGGTGGGTGGAGAGAAGGTAGGTGATTGGTGAGTAAATTTCTACAATGACGTTTTTACTGTAGATATCGACCTATGCCAGAGGTGAGAGACAGGTGAGGTGAGAGACAGGTGAGGTGAGAAACAGGTGAGTGAGAGACAGGTGAGGTGAGAGACAGGTAAGGTGAGAACAGGTGAGGTGAGACAGGTGAGGTGAGGAGACAGGTGAGGTGAGGAGACGGGTGAGGTGAGGAGACAGGGTAAGGTGAGACAGGTGAGGTGAGACAGGTGGGGTGGAGAAACAGGTGAGGTGGGACAGGTGAGGGGTGAGACAGGTGGGTGAGACAGGTGAGGTTGAGGAGACAGGTGGTGAGACAGGTGGTGAGACAGGTGAGGTGAGAGACAGGTGAGGTGAGAGACAGGTGAGGTGAGAGACAGGTGAGGTGAGAGAGACAGGTGAGGTGAGAGACAGGTGGTGGAGACAGGTGGGGGTAGAGACAGGTGGGGTGAGAGACAGGTGGGGTGAGGAGACAGGTGGGGTGAGAGACAGGTGAGGTGAGAGACAGGGTAAAGGTGGGGAGACAGGTGAGGTGAGAGACAGGTAAGGTGAGAGAGACAGGGATATTATAGTGTGAAGTTTGGGTATAGCAACAACGAACGAACGAACGACTCTCTCTCTCTCTCTCAAAACCTAGAATTAAATTTTCAGAGGGTCGGCCCAAGGTGTTTTTTTTTTTTTTTTTTTTTTTAGGTTAAGGTGGGGAAGGATGGAAGTGCTGGGGCTCAAGGCACAGCCACACATGAGGATGGAGAGTCACAACATATAGTCGTGGGGAGTCGTGGGGGAAAGGTTGGAAAAAGTTTGTGAGTTAAACAGAGGGGACGGCTGCCTTGTTTCCCTCATGAAGTTTGTTGGCTAACTAAACTAACCTAGGATTTGAATGAGGATTTTGCACAATGGTTATTTTAATGGACAATGACTAGATTGATTTTACAATTTACAAGTTTATTAACATCTTATCAGAACAGGTATAAGAACATGAAAATAAAGAGTCTCTGCAATAGGCCGGTTGGCCTGTGCGCAGCTCCTGTCGAGGAGTTATACCACACTCTCATCCATGAACCTCTGCTGCCAGCCTCCTTTTGAAACTTTCAGGGTTTCCTGCGCCCTACAAATTTAACTTGACCACTCAATACCACCCTATTTGCAGGCCAGTTTCTTCCTATCTCCCTCCTAAAGCCTAAACTTATCCAACAAATCCGTTGCTCCAAGGTCCTATCCTGCTCAGATATTACTGAAACTTTATCTATATCCCCTTACAGTGATTCCTTTTCACCGCTTAAATACTTCTATCATATCTCCCCGCACTCTTCGTCTTTCTAGGGCATGCAAGTTAAGTTTCTTTAACCTATCTGATATGGAAGGTTCTAAGTCCCGGAATCACTTTTGTCATTCTTCGCTGCACCGACTCTGGTGAATTTATATCCATTCTATAATAGGGCATCAGAGAACTAGACACATATACTGTATTACTGTTATGCTGTATTACGTTATGGACTCACTTGATTGTGACTTGTTAAATGTGAATTTATATCATCCTAGAGGTATTAATCTGGGTGGATCACTGTGGCGGACATAGATGGATCATGGGTTGGGTTGTTGTAGTGCGGGCAGGGCTCCGGGGCCTACCAGGCGTGGGGTCTCCACTCCGTTGATGTCTTCCCCGCGTAGGTCCTGGGCTGTGAGGAATCGTCCAGGGCTTGTCCCAGACCCTTCTTCCTAGGCATTGGAACCTGGAAGTTAGCAGGGGCTCTGTTTTATTTCTTGGGTGGATGGTTTCCTGTCTCCTGGTAGGGTGAGCGCTTGGCCACTGTTTGACCTCAAACATTTGTTTTGGAAGCTCTGTAGTTATTTGTAGTCTAGTCTTCCCGCGTGTGACGGAAGTGGTGGTACTGGTGGTGCTCAACACAGGCCTACTTGTACCTTGTACAGGAAGTGAACTTATCCTTCTCAGGCATCAGCGTTAAAACGTTTTAATTTGGCTGCGGCGACATACGGCTTTATTTAGTCTACATGTTAAAATGATGCTTGCGTCCGAAATAGTGAGGCCGAAACAGCCTGCCTTGTTTGCAAATGCTCAATCTCTTCGTCGTCGATCATTAATGGGCAACTGGATTTGGCTATGGGTATGATGACCTCAAATTTCGTTTTGTTTGTTTTTATTTTCCATTTATGTTCATACTCCGAAGTCTACTCTATTGCGAGCAGTAAGGTCGCGCCATCCTTGCTGTGGACCTTCCTGGGCAGGTGACGATCTGTGTTACGTCGTCATTTACATGACGTACTTTCGCTGCAACGATTGGGATGGCAGGTCAGCCGTGTAGAGAGTGTAAAGGGTTGAGTGAGACAAGAGCCCTGAGGCACGCCGCTCGATAGTGAGAATTCTTCTCCAAAATGTTCCTTTGCATCTTGATTTTTGTCTGCGGTCCCATAATGAAGTTACTGGCAAGTCAGATTTTCAGGTGCGCCCCAGGTTGTATGATCTTGCTCTGCAGCCCTGCGTGAAGCTTTATTAAACCTTGCTGACGTCCCTCAGTACTATATTGCTGCAGGCGGCCAGTCATGGCATTTGGCGATCTGCTCGTAGGCTGACTACTGGTGGATGCTGCATCGGTACTGGCGGAAGCCGGAGCAGCAGGATTATGTTCAAATCCTCCAGATAATCACCAATCGCTTGTTGACTATTTTTCCGAAAAGAGTTTGGCGGGTACCATCGCGATATTGGTCAAAGTCAGCCTGACTTTATTTGAAACCCTGCTTTGGTATGAGGCGAATAACGGCGATTTTCCCGAACATCTTAAGGGAAAGTATCCAGAGGCTGAGCAGGCGTTGCATATACAACCTCTCTATCTGGCATGTTGTCGGGGAGTTGAGCAAGGATCTTCTTGTTAATGTGACTTTTTGACCAGGTAGTTTGTTTTAAACCCTTTTGCCAGCTGACACGTCTCTGGGAACTATGCGTTCCGTCAGGTAGCCTCCGTCACCAGTCGGTAGAATCAATCACTGCAGAACTGGCTGGAGCAGGTGCTGATGGTGCCGCAGCTGACCTAAAATGTCCTCCTCCGACTCTGTCAAGCCTCGTTCTCCTGTTTCACTAATGGTAAAGATCTTTCGTGATATCGCCGATGTAGTTGTTCTTGAACCTTTATCGAATGTTTTTGTTTTGGGTCTGGCAGGTGAGGAGGACCGTACTAGAATGGAACCCATCGGTCGCTGATCCCTTTCCAGGAATGCAGCAGAATCATATGGTAATTATTTGGCTGCCTCCCACCAAGGCGGCCCACTTTATCCATGTAGACGTTTGCTCTCGTGCTGGATGTCCGTCTATGTAGCTCTCATTGCACCGGTCTCTCGGCTCCTGCGTCCACCGCGGATACTGGCTGGCTTCCGTCTCTACGTAGGCATGCTGGACATTGAGCTGCCTTAGCTGGTGACTAATGTGAGGATGGGGAATGGTCCTGTAACTGGTGGTCGGGATGTTGTTGTCCATCTCCGTCTTCACATCCTATACCATTATTAAACCTCGTCGTCGATGTCATTGGACTAGCTTCTTCCAGGTTTCTCCCTGCTTGAGACAGAGACTCATGAAGAGTCTCAGTCTACCGTTCGAGGTTTGACTGATGTTGGCGGGGATCATAATGGGGATTGGATGGGAAGCGTCCACGCTTGACTGGCAGGTGGTCGCTGGTACTGATGGGTCCGGCGGCCGTGCCTGTTCAGGACAACCTCGTTGTTAGAGAGGATTATGCTCCGGGTGTTGTGGCGCTGGCACGTCTGATCCAATGTCAGGAAATCTGGCCAATTTTTGCAGTTTTCCCCTTCTGATGTTGTCATACAGCGCCACACCGACGTAGTTCTCATTACCGTAATCCTAGTATGGCGTGGCGCGCATTTAAGTCCTGATGTATGTTGGTTTTTCTGTGGCGTAGCAACTGGTTTGATCTTGTTCGGGTAAGTAAGGACGTCTGGGAGGTATTTTATTGTGCATATGATAGCAAATTTAGTTATGCTCCACCTGCACTCCCCAGAACTGAGATCCTCGAAGTCTGTAACTCTGTGACTCAGACGCTGACCTGACGGCCACAGCACCATCATTTAAGCTCACCGTCATGTTCTCTGGTATGAGTGCTTAGCCAAAAATTTTTCGCTAACACAAATCCTTTATGCCAGTACTGTTTTAACAGAATGATGTCTGGAGTCTAATTATTAGTATAAGTTGAACACAGTTCATTACGTCTATTGAGGACAGTGTGAGACACATTATATTTGGACAATTTTCATCCTGCTAACGATTGCCATTTCGGAGACTGTAGCTTGAGGCGTCTTGGCAAGTGTTTGCTCGGCTTCTGTATCCCAGTCAATGGCGGGCCCTCGAACTTCTCGTCACCCGTGTACAGGAAGGTGTTCAGGTCCTGAGCCTGCGTGTCGTAGTAATCAACTGACGCTGCAGCTCGAGGGTCTTGTTCCTCTGTGGGGTGAGTCGTCATCATCTGGTCGCAGCCATTGACTGTGGTTGCAGTCCGATGGTCACTGTCGTCGCTGGGAGTGCATGTAATGGGATCGCGGGCATTTACGGTGTCGTTGGAGCTGTGATCCCAGGGGGACTGACTGGCCACGTCGGGATTGCGGTTATACTGACTTTTGCCTAAGTCAAGGAGGTCATGGTCTATTTCTGGCGTGGGTTGAGGTCGTCGATAAGTCGTTGAGTGGGTTACTGCCTTAAGGATTTCTTTTGAAGGGACTTTGTCGTTTATTTCAACAGGTGCAATGTTGTTCCTGGTTAGTGTCTCGTTGAGGTGTTTCGAGAATGAACCTGGATGAACCATGTTCATGTGATGGGCATGCAGGTAAGACAAGTATATAGTGGTGGCTTTGGACTCGTCCAGCTGTGGAGAGGAGACGCTCCTGATACTCTTGGCCACTGCGTCCCTCATGGCGCCCAGTGACTCAGTAACTGCCTGTTTTATTGAGTCCTTGATGGTTCTTATCTCTGATTGCAGGACTTCCATGGTCTCGCTGACATTGTTGAGCTTTTGGGAGTCTGCTTGAGTTTCTTTTAGAGCGTCTTTTAGGGTTTGGCTGTAAGCCATGATCGTCGACTGAGTGGTCCTTTCTATGGTGTTAGAAATTTCCCTGGTTTCTTTTTGTTTGGTTATTTCGGTCAGTTTCTTCTCTGTTTCTTGAAGTACCTGTTTCCTGACCAGGCAGGTGGCAGAGAAGGTCCTGTGGTCACCCTCGCAGACGACACACTTTTTTTATGGTGCTACGGCAGTCTTTGTAGAAGTGCTGATCAGATGAACACTCAGAGCATATGACCCCTTGCATGGGGCAGTTCTTGGTCATGTGGTCATTGTATTTATAGCACTTCATACATTGTTGGATGGGCGTATACTTTTCATATTCTATTTGGTGGGATGAGATGGAAGTGCCATATGCATAGAGCCCCTTCTCCTTCATTCTTTTTGCATCCGTTGTGTCTGCAAAGCGAACCTTGATTATATTATGGGCATACATAGGATACACCTCCACAACCTTGACATTGTTTTGCTTTTGTATTTCATCTCTTATTTCTTCTGCGTTATTTTCCACTACATCTTTGTCTAACTTCTTACATACAAGGGTGAGCTTGGCGCCGTATTCCCGTGGGACAATGACCTCGTAACCGTTGGTTTTCATTTTGTCCATGGCACTAGACTTAAGTAGTTTATCAGCATCTTCATCTGTTTCTGTGAGGATGATGTAACCATCTCTCAGATCCACAAGTCTATTTATTCTCACCCTTAGGTCGCTCAATAGCCTTTTTAGCCCTATCCGAGACCCCTGGGTCGGGGTTCCGGAGATCTTCACTCTCACTTTGGCCATGGTCAGTAACATACATGAATGAATGAATGAAAATTCTACCTAATCTGTCCACCTCAGCTAAACCCCATGGATGCCGCTCCTTCTGTCCGCTTGCTGGGCGAGTAAAGACGGGTCTGGGGGTAGGGTGAACAGACAATCCCCTGGCGGGGGCCTAGCCAAGCCCTAATACCTAGCAGTGACAGGTTATGAAGCAATGTCGAATCCCTAACAGAAAATGTTGCCACCCTTACTGTCTCGACTCAGCAGCCCTCTGAGGGCCCCCCTTGAGGCTCTGCCCGTAGGGCTCGCGTCGTTACCAAACAGCAGGGACTCTAGGCGAAAGGATAGGATAGGGAAGAAGCGCAGTGTACAAGAATAATGATATCCATGTACAACTACATGATAAAGCCCAAGGTGTTCCACCCTGGACCGTCACCCCCTCAGGCGGCTGCGTCTTGGATCAGGTACAAAGCAAATCGAATCTTCCCTCGCTTCTGTCAACCCAAATTTACCCGAAAAAAAATATATATCTCATAAAATCTGAAACGAGGGAAAGAATCTGACCTGGAGCTCTTCTGGGCTTAAATTCCCAGCTAGATATTTTCTCTCTTTTTTTTTTTTCGAGGTAGGAAACTTTTGTCTGTGTGTCTGTTGTAAACATATTTACTTAACTATCTTACTTCCTTGCTTATCTAACTACTTCTTTACGACTTAATGACTTACTTCCTTACTTAAATACTCACTCACTCAATCAGCTTCTTATTCACTTTATTATTCACTCCACATGTACAGTAGAGGCTCTTCAACGTCCCTCGTCATGATCACAAGACTCGTTAACTCTCGCCTCTAAAGTTACTCCCGATGTCTTTCTCTACTGGTCGATAATTATTACAGAGGTCAGCAAGTCAAATTAACCTGTCTGTTTACCTGTACGTGTACTATTGAGGCATTCATTACTGAGTGTGTATGGCCTTAGCATGGTGGTGTTGTGAAGAGTGTTAATAACAAGAGAGAGGAGTAAGCAGGTATTATTAACAAAGTCCAAAGTTGTTATAAAAAGGGGTGAACACAATCAGGACCCCACCTCTCCCCCCTTTCTCCCCCAATCCCTACTCTCCCCTCCTCCTCTCTCTCCCCTCCCCCTCCCTCTACCCATCGTCCCAATATCTTTATTAATTTACTTTGCTGTCGACGGGGAGGAAGCCTTGTTTATTCCCTCATTATTCCTGGTGAGTTTGGGCCTACATAGACGGCCCAGTGTTAGTACAGGACGCGGGAATAGCCAGAGAAAATGACGATGTTTGGCAGACTCACGATGTGTGTTAAGTGTTCATGTATGTCTGTGTGTATGTGTTGTTTCTCCGTTCATGTGTGTGTTTATGGATGAAAGTATGTGTGTAAATGGTCACTATACACGCAGGAACTTTTTCGAATATTGCAGTCTCGTCAGGCGGGATATTTATTGGGGTAATAAATCCAATATTTATGAAGAGGCTGTAGGTCCGTAATCCTCACCTCACATGCATATACACACGCACACACATGCACTCACACACATGCACTCACACACATAGATATTGTCCAAACATCACTGTGTGGTAGATATGAGCGAGGTTAGTTTGATGTAAATAATTGGCCTAATTAAGTGTATTCTGTGATCAAGGTGATACAGCATCAGAGTTTCATACTGCAAACTAATATATCATTAATTGTGAATCTGTACACAGGTTGTGATAAGGTAATACACACACACACGCACGTACACACACACATGTGAGTTATAATTGCCTAATAGCGATAAATTGTATGTATTTCTCCTTTGAAAATTTTGCCTGACAATAAACGATTAAATAGATCATTATAAAACATAGTAATGTAAAGTTTATTAGAAAGCTTAAGCTAAGCTAAGTTAAGCTAAGCTAACTTTATCTCCCCTCACCTTACCTAACATACCATAACATCAAAATATAACATCACATTACCTTACCAATATCTTATGATGGTAAACAGCGTCTTAAATGAAACAACAAATTGTATCATACTGAATTTTATTTTCATCAAGTTGTAACAACAAAGAAAAAGGAATCTATTTTTGGCAACAATTCAGGTTTCCTTTCAAGGCTTAATTAGTGATTATTGCCGTTTATCTTCACACACGTATGAAAGGTATTAATAGTGACGTCTGTACACACGTAATTAATTATCAATAATTAATTGACAGGTGAGTATATGTTCTGTCTAATGACTGACATTAAGTTATATTTAAAGTCTATTGACGTCATCATCATCGTCCCCCATCACTGCTCTCTCCTCCTCCTCTTCGTCTAACGATAAAAATATACGACTTTTAACCTGAGAGGATTTTCATGTTTCGCGGATGGAAGAGTTTTGGTACACGAGCCTCTTACTGTTTTGTGTGTGTTGTTTTCATGGCACGTCAGTATGAGTTGAAGCTACGAATATTTTATCATAAGAACATTGTGATCCATAAAATTTCCTTGATGCTGTTGTATGAAGGAAGAAAGAATTAAGTCAAAGTTAAATCCTTCTTAAACAAACCGCTCGACCATGAGCTATACTACATTCTCACTAAGGTGGACCTCCAGAGACAGATTCTGACTCTCTCTCTCTCTCTCTCTCTCTCTCTCTCTCTCTCAGATGTATGTTATACTGTGGATATAGGGTAATGATGTATATATTATGCGTTATCGGGATAGTTGTAACATAATGATGATTTAAATGGTTGTTGTTTTTGTTGTTTACATTCACTAATTCCCACAGTTACAACAACAAAAACTGATCACTATATCGCCTGAGACTTCAATGTTTTAGTAGCATGATAATTTCCCCCAAACTCATGACAATCACAAACAAATATTATCCTCAAGGGGGGGGATCGATGAATTCCACAATGAACACTGTGACTCCTGTTGTCTCGGTAGGGTTGTCAAAATCCTACGTCCGTTGTGCCATATTGTCTCACACAAAACCGTAAAGACGAGTAACATTGCTCAGTATAATCAGCGAGACTTGTACATAGCTCACTGTCACTCTCCCTTCAGGTGATCATCTTCCACGTGGAGAACCATCCCACCTTCACCTTCTACGTGCAGTGCGTTACCTTCAACTTCTTCCCCTCGGTCCACCATGAGATGGTCTACAACATCTTCTGCCTGGTGATGCTCTACGTGGCGCCCCTCTCCATCATCATCATCTTCTACGGTGCCATCGTCGTCACCATCTTCCAGAAAAGTAGAATGTCCTCCGATGGTGAGTGCTCTCTCTCTCTCTCTCTCTCTCTCTCTCTCTAATGCTTGGAGTGGGTACGAACGTCGGCATCCTTCTTGATACGGTTATGGATATCTGTATATCTTACACTTAATATTGTTATGAACTTCCAGGATTTCAGAAATGGAAATATACTGCACTGACCTGAGAGAAAAAGTGAGAGGAGGAGCGTGAGGTAATGTATTTCTAACGTAAGTTTGTGTGTGTGTATGTGTGTGTGTGTGTGTGTGTGTGTGTGTGTGTGTGTGTGTGTGTGTGTGTGTGTTATGAAGTAGACATGATAAGAAAATAAAAATACGTAGCAAAAAGAAAAGTCGGGTAAGAAATGAAAAGTTGTGAGAGAAATAATGAATCCTGCTCAGGCCACCACCAGACCGTGTGTTTTTACAGGTCTTTTGTATTCCACCTTCTACCTTCACTTTAGGGACCATTTTCCTACGACTGTGAGCTTTTAGTGACCGGACTAGACTCACTTTCACTTTTAGAGACCATGACCAACTGACCATGACACTCACACCTTCGACAGATATTATTCACAATACGTTTAGCTATTAGAGACCAGGTTCAACTTTCACTCAGATTATTCCCATACCATTCAGATAACATTCACGCCACACTCAGATTGTACACAGAGCCTTATAACTATTGCATTCAGACTCGCCTATCACACCAGCTAGTCTACACTCAGACCATACTAACAAACCTGCCAGCCTACACTCAGGAGCCAGATACAGGCAGCTCAAACAAGATTCCGCCCAGGACAATCAGTGACAAAAGCCCACGTCATCATTTTACTTTCAGGATCAGACAGCCAACAAGGGGGAGAATTAGGGAAGAGAATCTAGTATAGTAAATAAATAAATAAATAAATAAATAAATAAATAAATAAATACAAGTTAAAATCAATTAAAAAAAAGTCTGAAGATTTATGAAACTTAAAATGAAACCGGGTACATATATAAACTTTAGAACAACGGAATAACCACAAATGTGAGAATGAATCATAGAGGAGTGTACAGTATAGTGCCTTATCTAAGTACAGTTGTCAGGTTTGTTGAGGACAGGTGAGATATATCACGTCTAAATAACCACTTGATTAGACCATATAAACACCTCATAGGATCATAAGGTAAAGCCAACAAGGGTAACCAGATGGTGGAATGATCAGACCGCCATCTTTTGCTCAATTAGCTTTACGAAACACCTTTGGTACGTAAATTCACTATGGCTCCCCTGTAAGTTGAAAGGCTATTGAAAGTTTGCAGAGACTGGCAAGGAAACTGAACTTGAACTTAATTAAGAACTTCACATGAAAACCATCTGAAAGGTCGATAACCCAGTCTGAGGAGCAACGCAGAGTACTAAGGGGACGAGGTCGAGACTTATGAAGTAACGAAAGCAATATACCAAGAAGAAAGACGCTTAATAATGTACTGAAAACAAAGCGGCAGCACCACCAGAAGTCACGCTGTTAAAACTACACAACCACGCAGCAGGAGAAGACAGAACACTGCATTATTAGGGGTGTGAGGTACATAGTGGGGGTGTGGGGGTACATAGTGGGGGTGTGGGGTACATAGTGGGGGTGTGGGGTACATAGTGGAGTTGTAGGGTACAGGAGTTAGGGGTGTGGTATAGTGGGGTGTGGGGTACAGTGGAGGTGTAGGGGTGGGTGTGGGGTACATAGTGGGGTGTGGGGAATTTTATAATATGGGTGTGGGTACATAGTGGGGGTGTGGACATAGTGGGGGTGTGGGGTACATAGTGGAGGTGTGGGGTACAGTGGGGGTGTGGGGTACATAGTGGGAGTGTGGGGTACATATGGGTGTGGGGTACATAGTGGGGGTGTGGGGTACATAGTGGGGTGTGGGGGTGTGGGGTACATAGTGGGGGTGTGGGGTACATAGTGGGGGTGTGGGGTACATAGTGGGGGTGTGGGGTACATAGTGGGGGTGTGGGGTACATAGTGGGTGTGTGGGGTACATAGTGGGGATGTGGGATACATAGTGGGGGTGTGGGGTACAGCTTACTGAACAACTGGTCGTGTATCCCAATATGATGACCTTTGAGAGGCAACTGGACCAGCATGAAGAAGATAATAAACCCTTGTGCCAATGTAGTAGTATGAATATTTGTCGTAAGGTCGGTGGAACCTCGCGACCATGGAGAGGCCTGAGCGAACGTGAACAACGAACTTAAGTATATTAGATAAGTACAGTCGGGGTCAAGAGCTCACTCCCTCCCAGAATGAAGCAGTGACGACCCTAAATGAGATAAACAAACTCCTGCACCAGACGATACTCAGGGCAAGTCAGTTCGGAGATTCATTCCCGCGACTCAGTTTCACCACAAGAGAATTTTTGACCGTAACAGTACATGACAAACACACACGTGAATTAATAGTGTAAGTAAATCTATATATACATACAACTCAAGCACACACAAACAACACAAACTAATGGTACAAAGAGACATTATTACAAGACAAAAGACAAGATATAGTTTAATACACATATACTTTATATTATATAACTCCCACAAACTCACACCAATATATGAATGTTGTAAAGAAATACTTGTAATGTAAAACAGATACAATATGATACAGAACCAAAAATAATACGTAACGGAGAAGGATGAGAGACAAACAGACACACAGAGGAACAGACACCAAAATAGATATAGTACAAGTGATCACGGGCACCTTCAGGCCCAGTGAAAGTTTGAACGCTCGTGCTTGGCTTGGCTAGCGTACAGCGAATGAGGGAGCGCCAAGTCCGTAGACTTGCATCGTTTTCCATCGTAAATAAAATGGTTAGTTAATGCCTTCCTAAAGAAACCATCGACATGGGACCAGGTTTGTTCCACTCTACGATTTTTTTGCGATTTTTCCACCAAGTTTGATGAAAAACGATTGTGCCGTTTCGGCTGCCCAGAACAGACAGATAGACAGACAGACAGACAGCGAGTCTTATAGTATATTATATAACAAGAACAAGATCCTACAGAATACAAAGTCAACAACGAGAAACTCCTCCAGATAAGGTATTGGAAACTCCATCAAGTGAAAGTATAGACAATTGAAACTTGTGTGTCCTTCAGCAGCAGCTCACCTAAGCCAAAGTTGCCGACGTCTATAGAAGCCTTCCTATAGAACTGAAGACACTATTTTTCTAAACAAGAAAGTTATCGTTTGTCATACAGTGGCAGTAAGGTCTAGGTAAAAGTGTTTACTTATTTTTATCCCTTGATATTATTCTTTTACGTGTCTAGGAGGGATACTCTCTCTCTCACACCAAGTCCCGTCTTTCCTACCTCAGACTCAACCATCCGACGGTCCAGCCTGGGTTACCTCGGACGAGCTCGGGCGAGAACCATCAAAATGACAGTGAGCATCGTGCTGGCGTTCTTCATCTGCTGGACTCCCTATGTTGTCATTAGCCTCTGGTAAGTCTCTATCTGGCGAGTCTCTGGTGAGCCTACTGGTGAATCTATTGGTTAATCTAGCGAGTCTACTGGTGAATCTGGTGAGCCTACTGGTGAATCTATTGGTGAATCTAGCGAGTCTACTGGTGAATCTGGTGAGTCTACTGGTGAGGTTAGGTTAGGTTACACTAGGTTAGGTTAGCATTAGATGGTGTTTAATCATCAGGTGAAATTCTAAGGTGCCTACTCTTCAAGTGATCATCAGTCACTATCATAGAGAGATTCACCACCTCACAATACTTACTCACAACACGACTAACGGTGACGGAATAAGATCGAGTGGCTGCCTGAGAGCCTGATAGCTGATATCTTAGCGAGACTCAAGTATATTAAAATAATTCTGAATCTTATTTTGGATTAACAAATCAAAAACTTTGAAAACTATAATAAGAAAAAACTAGCAGGTAAATTCAAAGCAAAATAGTAAATAGAACAATACAAAAACGTCATTAATAGACCAAGACGAATATTTACACTATTAAGACAACAGGATATAAATACAGTCACTCAAAAAAACTATCTATGCAAAATTGTGTTGAAAAATATGACACATCGGACGAAGGATTTTGGCAACTCTACAGAGATATACAGGAGTTGCAGTGTTCATTCTGAAATTGATCGATCACCCCAAGTACAGATAGTTTTTTAAGTGACTGTACCTCTAGCAATGTATCTCTCAGACTAGCTATAAAGATTGTGAGTAGAAATGTAGCCACACACTTCTCAGGAACATATCCAAACATATCTACTGTGAAATACCACATCACTGTATTGCCGATCTTATGATTACTGAGACCTTAACCCTTTGAGTCCCTGACTGGTGAAATAATTATCTTTAAAGGGGTTAAATCACCATCGTCAAAGGGTTAATCATAGTTGTAAAAGGGTTAAATCACCATCCTGAAAGGGTTAAACCATCGTCCTCAAGGGTTAAATCATCATCCTCATCAAAGGGTTGAATCATCGTGATTAAGTCTTTTACTGTATTCACTCGACAACATATCATCCACAATAACCTGGCCACTGGGGACTGACAACAGCCCTTTGTGATCTCTGCTCCCTAGTCCCTTTTGGCGCTTTACCCCTCACAGGATGAGTATGGGGTGCACAATAAACTTACTTGCTCAGGCCCCGACATAATTGGATAGTGAATTACCTTCTCCCCTTCCTTTATATCTCCCTGGTCCTCCTTTCATATTACCCACCTTCTCGTTATTTTATATTTCCCTATTCCCTTTTCCTTTAATCTCCATCCTCCTCTTTAGTCTTAAAATCTTCCCCCTCCTATTCCTTCTCTTAAATCTCCTTCCTCCTCTATCATTTCATTTCCCTCATTCTCAATTCCGTATACACCTCTCCCTCTTCTTAAATATTTCTCTCCTAGCTCTTCCTTTAATCTTCCTACTCCTCTTTACCTTAAATCTCCCTCCTCCTCCTCCTCCTTGTCTTATATTTCTCTTTTTCTGTCACGCACACATGATAAATCGCATTAAGTATGAGACCCACCTGTCGTCTCTTTTGTGTCTCGTGAGCCACACTCTCCTGCCGTCCCCTGTACAATACATTCTTCTGGCGGGATAATATAAAGACCACGAGGATCTTCACCCCACTGTATACACGGGACCTCATGTGCTCTTGTCAGGATCAAGGTCCAGGTGAATCCTTTCAACATATATACAATTTCTCCATGATTCGGTGGAATAGGTCTGCTGAGTCGATGAAGTTGGTTTCCTGATAGAATAAGTTTGTTGATACGATTTTATAGGTTTGTGTATATGATATAATAGGCCTGTCGATCTTTTTGAGAAAGTCAGTTTATTAAATGGAATATATCTACTAGTGGAAGAGTCTGCTGATATGGTAGAATTGGACTCAGTGTCATAGAGCTGAGGTCTCCAAGTGTCGTGTACAGGTGAGGAGGTCAGAGATGGTGGAGGATGATGTCACTGAGCTCTTAGATGTCAATGATCGCTCTCTGTGTTATGTCATCATCCTCGACACAAGATTGCCTGAATTACTGTACAATGAATTTCGAACAACTAATCTGACTTTTGTAATCACTTCTTTCTAACCCAACCCAACCCAACCCAGCCTAACCCAACTCAACCCAACCCAACCCAACCTAACCCAACAACCCAAACCCAATCCAACCCAGCCCAGCAACCCAACCCAACCCAACCCAACCTAACCCAACCCAACCCTACCAACCCATCCTAACCCAACCCAACCCAACCCAACCCAACCCTACCTTACCTAACCTTACCTTACCTAACCTAACCTAACCTGAATTTGGTTAACCAATCGTAACTTAATCTAACTTAGTTTAATCTGCCCTCAACCTAACCTAATTTAACCTAAATCAGTCTACTTTGTCCCTAGACTGACCTAATTTAATCTAAACAAACTTGGTCTAATCTGTCCCTAACCTAACTTAACTGCTGGTGACCGTAACCTTGTATCCCCGCGGCAGGTTTTGCTTCGACAGGTCAGCGGCAGCACTACTGGACGAGAAAGTCAAGAAGGGCCTCTTCATCTTCGCCTGCTTCAACTCCTGCGTCAACCCCATCGTCTACGGCATCTTCAACTTTTGCAAGAAGAAGCAACCGATGGTAAGTCCCCCTGTGTGTGTGTGTGTGTGTGTGTGTGTGTGTGTGAGAGAGAGAGAGAGAGAGAGAGAGAGAGAGAGAGAGAGAGAGAGAGATAAATGTGGGTATTTATGCTTGTAGCGAGGTTGATCAAGGGTGTTTGTGTGTCCATATGTTCGTGTTAAGGGAAGAGGAGGGAAGAAGAAAACGTTAATGTGTCCAATTGAGGGGTAACTAAAAGGATTCATTACGCTTACAGTGCAATCATTTGTTACCACCAAGTTAAAGACATAAACTGAATAAATACCAATAGACTAGCTTCCACATCCTACAGTACTTTGGATCCTAAGTGAAGAAATATAATCGTATTTGACCTTTCTATGATACGAGTTAATCTGTTGTGTCATTTAGTTTAGTCTCCCCTAACATGATACGATTTGTATCCCCGTTTTCTGGTTTTAATTCCTCCGTTCAGCTCCCTATCTTGCCAATTAAATTTGGTTTACCTTTACCACAAACTAACCTGATACCATTTTGTTTACTCCACTGCATTCTGATTATCATTGTATTTGATATCTCCCATTCTTTTTTCTTTTATTTTTACGTGAACCTGTGAATCCGAGACATGACACAGTACACCATCTATGGACCCAACAATGTGTAATGTCTCGGGTTCACAGATTCATGAGACTCAGTGTTCATAGACGATAGAAAGAACTGACAGTACTATATATTTGGTGGATGTAGTACATACTGACATGATTCTCCCACCACAAGCTCTAACATCCTTTTGTCTACCTCTCAGACTCAGACGTGGCGCTCTACTACTCTCAACACTCAGATGAACTCCCGAAGCTATGAGTGTCGAAGCTTCAAGTCCAGCCGGGTGTACTGGAGCCGCCGAGAACCGCCCTCCACCGTCACCAACTCAGATGTGACGGACCACACTGCCGAACTTCTCCTACCCCGCAACCTCAACTCTCCATTTCGCAATAGGTCAGTGTGTGTGTGTGAGAGAGAGAGAAAGAGAGAGAGAGATAGGGACAGAAATAAGGACAGAAATAGAGACAAACGCAGAGTAAGATACAGACAGACAGAGAAAGAGATAAAGTGAGAAAAATGGACAGATACACACACAGAGACAGAGATAGAGTGAGAGAAAGGATGGACATAACGTGATAAAGGGGAAGGAGAAAGGAGAAGAGAAGTGAGAGGCGGATGATAGAGGGAGAACTTAATGTAATGTAAGGGGAGGTATAGGACACAACACGATAGATAAATAGAATAGGAACATAGCACAATACGAAGAAATATATATGACAATGCAAAAAAGAAGAGGTAAAAGACAAAAGCAACAATTAGAAAAGGAAATATTAAATAGAAGATGATAACATTAAACTGCAATAAACAACATAAGAAAGTCACAGAAAAGAAGACTGAAAACCAACGTAGATAAATGACCAAAAAGGTAGAATAGAGAAAAGTAGCAATAGTAAACATAATATAGTCAAAAGTAACAAAAGGGAGCCGAATATAGCCAAAAGTAACAATAGGGGGCAGAATATAGCCAACAGTAGCAATAGGAAGCAGAATATAGCCAAAAGTAACAATAGGGAGCAGAATATAGCCAAAAGTAGCAATAGTAAGCAGAATATAGCCAAAAATAGCAATAGTAAGCAGAATATAGCCAAAAGTAACAATAGGAAGCAGAGTGGAAATTAGGTGAATATTAGAGTAAAAATTAACATAATATTCCCACAAGTTAAAAGTAAGAAATGTTGGTAGAAATTCTTCACAAGTGTACCTGTTATTATTGTGTATTTCTATGTTAAAAGGCCACCATTTTAGGTCATATTCTTGGTTTTAAGGAAGTTTAAGGTGGTGTATGTGTAAAGAGCTTCACTTATTTGTTTATATTAACCAAAGAACAGTTTCAAACCTTTACATCTGCCGTAGTTCATTTTGTTATCTGAATATTAGTGACAGTTGTTGTGCTTATATACGATTTTGGGAGTTTTGTAATTACACAGTGATTTTAGGCCTTTGTTTACATTAAGTATCTTCTTTGATGTACTTGGACAATATGTATATATAAATTCTATGATATTTTGCTCGCTATAAATATTCGTTGACTCCTTATGTAGTATCCTGCACAAAAATAAACTTAGCATCCTTCATAAAACGATCTGATCCTATATATGGAATGTTGATCCTTATAATTACCTCAAATCTACAGTCTCATTCTTCACAAAGCTTATACGTGTTGTACTACTGTATGTTATCTATGTCTTCAATGTTCTTCAATCCTATTTTCTGTTGAACGTTCCATAGTTTTTGTAGTATTTAGCCTAATGCATCAAACTAGACTTGTCAACATTTTGTTGGTGTGTTCCGCCATCCCAGAAACGTGTAATGGTGGGCGGTGCAGAGCGGCCGCGCTGGTCCTTAACGCTCCGGTTGATGAAACGACTGAGACAAACTAAATAATACTTTCGGACCGTATAGTAGCAGGGAACACGGCGTGTGTTACCATATAGTAGCAGGGAACACGACGTGTGTTACCGTATAGTAGCAGGGAACACGACGTGTGTTACCATATAGTAGCAGGGAACACGACGTGTGTTACCGTATAGTAGCAGGGAACACGACGTGTGTTACCGTATAGTAGCAGGGAACACGACGTGTGTTACCGTATAGTAGCAGGGAACACGACGTGTGTTACCGTATAGTAGCAGGGAACACGACGTGTGTTACCGTATAGTAGCAGGGAACACGACGTGTGTTTAATTATAGTAATTAAACATCGTTACGTAAAAAGCATAGTTGTAGACAGGAGAGCAAGTGTGAGGTCAGAGTGGTGGCCAGTGCCGGATTTAGACCTGTGGAGGCCCATGGGCAGCCTCTTTGTGCAGGCCCCCCCTCATTATAACTACCCAAGAGGGTGGGTTGGCGAGTGAAGCGAGCCTAAACATCTGGGAGTTCCGGGGGCACTGTAAGCCCCCCGGGAAAATTTTGAAATTTGAACACTTCTTTGGAGAATTTTGAAGCCATATACAGTTATATTGAGGAAATTAGAACATATTGTAATATGTGGAGGCCCCCAGATTGTGGAGGCCCCTGGGCAGCTGCCCACTTTGCCCACTCCTGAATCCGGCCCAGGTGGTGGCCCCGAGTTGCATCTTGACCATCTCACTCAAACTGTTGTTGTGTATAACAGGTCTTCTGTTAATACCGCTCCATCACTCTTATTACTTAGTCAGTATTAATATTGGTAATTTATTTGAAATCGAGTTTTGTAAATGATGATACGAACATCAAAACTGAGCATCACTAATGATTGTAATTGGTAATACAAATGCCATGAGGTAATTAAACATTTCAGATGAAGACATAATGGCTTGAATAGAACTGCCAGTTTTGTGCACTTTGGCAACACCTTATGCGAGTTTAGTTTCGAACACGAGATGCAGGACTTTTGGTTAACAATAAAAAAAATGGCCATGTAACAGAGAATTGTATCATTTTAGTTTATATTCCAGAAACTTCTGCCTTAAGCACACACACACACGCACACACACACACACACACACACACACACACACACACACACACACGCACACACACACACACACACACACACACACACACACACACACACACACACACACACACACACACACCAAACAGTATCTTCACGGAGGGTCGATGTATTCCACAATGAACACTGTGACTCCTGTTGTCTCGGTAGTGTTGTCAGAATTCTTCATCCATTGCATCAATATTGTCTCACAAAAATTGATTCAAGATACTTTTGAATTGTGTGAACCTCCCAGAACAACAACACTCTCACAGCCACGTATAACACTCCCAGAACAGCAACACTCTCACAGCCAAGTATAACACTCCCAGAACAACAACACTCCAAGTATAACACTCCCAGAAACAACACTCTCACAGCCAAGTATAACACTCCCAGAACAGCAACACTCTCACAGCCAAGTATAACACTCCCAGAACAACAACACTCTCACAGCCAAGTATAACACTCCCAGAACAACAACACTCTCACAGCCAAGTATAACACTCCCAGAACAACAACACTCTCACAGCCAAGTATAACACTCCCAGAACAGCAACACTCTCACAGCCAAGTATAACACTCCCAGAACAGCAACACTCTCACAGCCAAGTATAACACTCCCAGAACAGCAACACTCTCACAGCCAAGTATAACACTCCCAGAACAACAACACTCTCACAGCCAAGTATAACACTCCCAGAACAGCAACACTCTCACAGCCAAGTATAACACTCCCAGAACAACAACACTCTCACAGCCAAGTATAACACTCCCAGAACAACCTCTCTGACCCAAGTATATGCTCCCAGAACAACCAACACTCCTCACAGCCAAGTATAACACTCCCAGAACAGCAACACTCTCACAGCCATGTATAACCTCCCAGAACAACAACACTCTCACAGCCAAGTATAACACTCCCAGAACAGCAACACTCTCACAGCCAAGTATAACACTCCCCAGAACTTCATAACACTCCCATGTATAACACTCCCAGAACAGCCCAACACTCTCACAGTAAGTATAACCTCCCCAGAACAGCAACTCCTCCTGACCAAATGCCTCCCAGAACAGCAACACTCTCACAGCCATGTATAACACTCCCCAGAACAAGCAACACTCTCACAGCCAGATTATAACCTCCCCAGAACAGCAACACTCTCACATTGATGTGGCACTCCCCAGACAACAACACTCTCGTGAAGTATAACCTCCCCAGAACAGCAACACTCACAGCCATTATAACCTCCCAGAACCTTGACACTCTCACAGTAAGTATAACGCCTCCCCAAATTGGCAACACTCTCACAGCCATGTACTGCTTACTCCCACAACAACAACACTCTCACAGCCAGTATAACACTCCCCAGAACAACAACACTCTCACAGCCAAGTATAACACTCCCAGGCAGCATCACTCCTGCAGCCACGTATAACACTCCCAAGAATAACCAACACTCTCACAACCGTATAACACTCCCAGAACAGCAACACTCTCACAGCCAAAATTATAACACTCCCCAGAACAACAACACTCTCATTTAAAAAGTGCATCATGCTCCCAAGAACAACATACTCTCACAATAATAGCCATAACCTCCCCAGAACAACACTCCTCACAGCCAGAGTATAACCTCCCCAGAACAACAACGCACTCTCACAGCCACATATGCTTGCTCCCCCTGAGAACAACCAACACTCTCACAGCCGTATAACCTCCCCAGACAACAGCATACTCTCCATTACATGTAACACTCCCCAGAGACAACAGCCATGTGCTAACCTCCCCAGAACAACTTCTTATCTCACACGTATAACACTCCCCAGAACAACAACACTCTCACATGCATATAACACTCCCAGAACAACAACCTCTCACAGCCATGTATAACCTCCCAGAACCTTAGCCTCCTCTTAGCCTTAACACTCCCCAGAACAACAACCTCTCTGTCAAGTATAACCTCCCCAGACATAACACTCTACATGTCTCCAGAACAACAACACTCCACGGCCAAGTATAACACTCCCAGAACAACAACACTCTCACAGCCAAGTGTCTTCCTCCCAGAACACACTTACTCTCACAGCCAAGTATAACACTCCCAACAACAACACTCTCACAGCCAAGTATAACACTCCCAGAACAACAACACTCTCACATTAATTTCCTCCCAGAACAGCAACATCTCACAGCCAGTATAGCACCAGAACAACAACACTCTCTGTAACACTCCCAAATAAACAACACTCTCACAGCCAGTATAACCTCCCCAGAACCATAACCTCTCACAGCCAAGTCTCCTCCTCCCCAGGCAACTTAACACTCTGCAACAAATATAACATCCCAGAACAACCTTGCTCTCACGGCTAGTATAACACTCCCAGAACATAGCTCTACCATGTAACACTCCCCAGA